TCATATATCAAAGCAGATGAACGTGTCGCGTGCTTTTGTAGAACAGGTGTGTAGTTTTGCTTTCCTTTCAGCCGTACGCTTTTTTTAATGTTCTCTCTGGTGCCTGGTATAAGCGGGCTGGATCTCCGGCGGGGATCTCCCTCAGCTGTTGTCGGGAAACCTGCCAGGCTCAGCCTTCTGTCTTCCTGTATTTGACCACATTCACATCGGTCAGCGGATCATTAGTAACTGATTGAACTGATAAAATAGAGATTATACATATACATTAGAGATTATATTTATGACTCAAACCGATAACAACAACAAAAAGTATGACTTTCATATGCTATCTCAGCATCTTATCTGGAAAGCACCCCCATTTTCATCAGATCCCATATATTGGCCTAGCCCAGATAATCATTTTTGATTCATAGAACGTTCTGAAAACGTTAAAGGTGACATATCATGAAAATCTGACTTTTCCAGGTTTTAAGTGCTGTAATCAGGTGTCAGGTGCATCTATCAACCAAGGAAACGTGAAAAAAGATTAACCCAGTAACTTTGTTTTGGTAAGCCTTATTCTGCAAGCTCTGAAAAAACCAGCACGTCTGATTTCGCTCCCTTGGTGTCGTGGCAAAGGGATCTCATTATAATATTACCGCCCCTTAATCTGTAAATTTACACCCACAGCGCCGTTATTGTGTTTTCGCAAGCGACAAGTGTAGGCCTACTAGTTTTAATGCCATGGCGAAAGTTTGAGCAAAACATGCTAACTGTTCTGTCATTGGCTGCACAGACGAGCACAAAACACTATTTACAGTCCCAGCCTCAGAGGAGACAAGAGAGCAGTGGATTTATTGATTTATTTAATGTATATTGCTGCTGAACGCATGATTTCAGAGCGATAAACATGATAATCGGAACCAAAACAGACGTTTTTTTTAGCTGGTACAAGCTGTAATGGCTCAGCTCTATTCTGGAAAAGGGGGCGGGAAGCAGCAGTTCATTTGCATTTAAAGAGACAGGCCCGAAAAACAGCCTTGGGGGGGTCCCCCTAACCAGCCCCCCCACCCTCTTCACATAAAAAAAATAAATAAATAAAATAAAATAAAACTTTATATACATACGTATGATGCAATTTTTTTTATTTATAATTTTTTTTTGTCTTGTCCTCGTTATCGTTGAGAGAACCTAATTCTAAGATAAAAGATGATTTTACTATGATCAGTGAATTAGGTGTACCAAACAATCACTAAGCAAAGAAGAATTAAATATCTAGCCTAGGGGTGTAGAGACTTATATTACATATTGTAAAAAGGGGCATAATATGTCTCCTTTAAGGTTTTTGGCAGTGTTCGAATTGTGTCAAAGCTCTTGGGGGGTCCTCCTAATCAGCACCCCCACCCCTTCACAAAAAAATAAATAAATAAAATAAAATAAAACTTTATATACATACGTATGATGCAATTTTTTTTATTTATAATTTTTTTTTGTCTTGTCCTCGTTATCGTTGAGAGAACCTAATTCTAAGATAAAAGATGATTTTACTATGATCAGTGAGTGAGGTGTACCAAACAATCACTAAGCAAAGAAGAATTAAATATCTAGCCTAGGGGTGTAGTTACAAATGCATAAATAATGTTTTGATATTATAATCTTAAAACGTTGAATACTGATATTTTAAATGATTTAAAAAAATATATTAAAAAGTACTTTAAAATGTTAAATTAAAACCGCCAGTAGGTGGCAGCAAGTCACTGTTGTTAAGTGAGTCATTGCGATTGAACCGACCCATTCAAACAGTTGATTGAAACATGTTTTTCAGAGACGCAAAACAGTGCTGTGGCTTTGTTTGGAACCATTTTTGTTGGCGAAATAGAGCAAAACATAGGCAATGCGGTGTCATATTATAAATAATTAATTATAAACGTAATTCTCTTAACATTAACTTCTTGATTATTGAACTGTTGTATAAAATTATTTTTTTGTATACATTTTTTTTTTTTTGCGAAAAATGGCACTCTTTGTGTGATATTGATCAACTATATGAAATGATATAAATATATACATTTTCTGCCCCCATATCTTGAATTTTGGGAGCATTCTAAATGCATTTTATTTTACTGAATCATGCAGTGAAAGAACACACTCTAAATTAGCATTTAGTCTAGCTAGTGTTTAAGCACTCATAACTCCTCTCATAATCAATAAAGCTGTCCATACACGGTATGATAAATGAATCTCTAACTTACATCGTATGTACATCTGCACTTTGTTGCTTATGATGAGGGAATTCGCGAGTTTCTGTCTGAACAAAACTCTGGGATTTCAGCAATGACTGATCTGAACGCCTCTGATTGGCTACTGCATTCATAAGCTCAACAGAATCATGTGTGATTGGTTATCATGAGCAACGCTGTAAAAACGTGTAAAAATAAAATATGATGTAACATAACCAGGTCTAAATTTAATACAGCAATCGAAATTTCATTTTAAGTATTAACGTTTTATTGAAAAACCAGGGGACCCCCCCCAAGTATATTTTTTTGGGTGTTATGTGGGGTCCCTTAATGCTTATGGGAGGTCCGGGACCCCCCCACCCCAGGAACTATATATATATATATATATATGAAATATTCCTAGAATGATTGGAATGGAAATAACCAATAATAATAATAATAAAATGGAAATAAATGCTAACGTTAGGACAATGTTTTGTGTTTGCTGGGAGTTTGATACCATTAGCATCTATCTATCCCATTGTACAATCAAAAAATCTTGGGAAAAAAAGACTTCAGATTATGTGCACATAAAAACCTTCGTCATACCCCTCTCTTTCCACCTACACCCCACTAGCCTTAGTTCCTCCTCACACCAGGGGTTTGGAGTTACCTGGGCCAGTTTGGGACTTTCCTGCATTGTGGGGTTGAACGGGTATGGAACAGCAAACGGAAAAAAATTATAGGTGTTTAAAGTCCCTAAAACACCAAGAAGAGTGGTGGGTCTGAACTTGTCAGTTGATGACATACAATAGGCCTATCGTCAAAATGCTGAATCACAGCTAGTTTATTTCCCATGGGCCTACTGAAGATCAACAAGAAGATTCCAGGATCTGCGAATGAACTTTTTAAATTGAATTGAACACACAATTCAATTTAGCTTTAGGTTTGCTGCTGCATAATCAAAATACATTTGACAATATAGCTGAAATATAATAGGCTACTTGTTAAATCATGGAGGGACATGAGGGAGAGAAAAAAGACAATAAGCCTAAACGCACACAGTGTTCATGCCCTTGATACCTTAATCCAATCTTATAGACAGTCATATGGTCAGTTTTTCTAATTTAATTTTTCAGTATTTTTTCCCGAACATGTTCCATTTACATGTACCACTCATACATTGCCTTCAGAGAAAAAAAAAAACATGCAATCAAACCAATAGTAGGCCTAGTCAATTTGTAAAATTTTAACCATATAATTTATTCTGCTATACAAGATACAAGATGGACATGGCGGACATGTATTATGTAACAACAGAGAGAACAAAATCGTTCATTAAGAGTAAAAGCATCTTCTTGCACGTTTTTCAAAAGCTGTCTGGCTCTTCTATCACTGTCATAAGAGTCTCTGACTGATGCTAAAATGCTGTGAAGCAGCGCCCTCTGCCGATGAGAGAAAATGTACATTTGTGAACAGTTTTAAAGGGGTCATATGATGCTGCTAAAAAGAACATTATTTGGTGTATTTGGTGTAATGAAATGTGTTTATGCGGTTTAAAGTTAAAAAAACACATTATTTTCCACATACTGTACATTATTGTTTCTCCTCTATGCCCCGCCTTCTGAAACGCGTCGATTTTTACAAACCTCATTGGTCTGAAAAGCGAGGTATGCTCTGATTGGCCAGCTATCCAGAGCGTTGTGATTGGCCGAATACCTCAAGCATGAGACGGAAATGTTACGCCCCTCACCATACTGTGATGATGCCGTGTCCGCTCTTCATAATCCGTGAAGCTCTCGCTAGCTTCTACGAAACAGGCCAGATTCCGTGCTAAACACCGCCATCTTCGCTTGCTTCAAGTCCTACTCACTTTGAGCCCCCTTTTACCTTAAAGGGGTCATATGATGCTTTTTTAAAGATTATTATTTGGTGTAACAGAATATGTTGACATGCTTTAATGTTCAAAAAACACATTATTTTTCAAATACTGTACATTATTGTAGGTCCTCTATGCCCCGCCTCTCTCAAACGCTTCGTTTTCTACAAAGCCCCCTCCTTCAGACAAGTGCAGTCTGCTCTGATTGGCCAGCTGACCCAGTGCATTATGATTGGCCGAACACCACAAGCACGAGTCGGAAATGTAACGCCCCTTACCATAATGCAGGGGGCACTAATGCTCTACTCTGTTTAACACATACATAACAGATTGTCATACTTACAATCTTCCTGAATAACAAGCTATGCCATATGGCACTTACACAACTCAATAAACTCAAAACATACTTTTGATGTTTCTTAACATTAAATACACCACAGTTATCATCTTTTTTTTTGTCTAATTCTTGTTTAGTTTAGTCTTTGATTAGTGTTAGGATTGTTGTTTTTTTTTCAGTTTTTTATATTTTTATTTTAAATATATTAATTTATAATATATTAAATATAGAATTTGAATAAAAAAATTATTTAACATTATAGCATGAAAACATCAATAAAGTAGCCTAGGCCTATATATTTTAGTATTGATTATGTAATAATCTAATGTCATTTTAAGGCCAGCCGTACTAGAAACTCTCCCTCCCTCTTTCTATAGTCATTTGTTATGTATTCAGGAAGTCGTTCACACATGGTCGGTCCAATACACCACAATTCAAACAGCGTCCCAACTGCACACTTGCCCAAGCAGCTCGGCTCACTCTCTCTCTCTCTCTCACACACACACACACACACACACACACAAAGAAAACAAACCTGTTTGTCTGCCTGTTAGCTACCCGGAAACTGATCAGAGAGAGAGAGAGGGAGAAAGAGAGGTGAATGTGTGCAGTTGAGTTCCTGTCCATAACCAGCATGAGCGTGAGTGCCTCTTCAAAATTTAGGACACAGAGATACAATCAGACAGACTGAGAGAAACCATATGGATGAGAGAGATAATGGCTGAGCAAGAGCACTAAATGTCTGTATGGGTGGAGTGATGGTGGGAGCTGGAGGTCGGTAGATCTCAGAGTAAAGCTTTAGTATTTCAACTATTTTTGGTGTCATGGTTTTGGGTTTCTCTTTGCTTGTTTGCAACATGTTTGTAATGGAGACATGGCAAAAAGACACATGACTAGAACTTTGCACCTTTTTTCTATGGGGCACCTTTTTTCTTTTTTCGCTGAAACCAACCTGCATAGTTTTTTTGTCAGGTGTTGCGCATGTGTCGTTTAGGTAAGTCAGCTTTTCTTGTTCTGCTTGTGAAGAATGTATCTTGTGAAACGAATGTGGCAATGATGACAAATGTCTCATCACTTCTTCGCACTTCATCTGACCCGTGGACCTTGACATGGACAACACAAGGTTTTTAAACTGGATTATTGAACAAAGTTTTGCCGTGGTAAGATGACTGTTCATTTTGAAATCATCATACTTACAGCTGCGTTTGAGCTGTTTTTATCATTATATCATCATCAGTGATAACAGGACAAAGAGTTACTGGGGAAGTGGTTTTCAGATAAATCACGCTACCTAAAAATAGATTACTTTTCTGAGAATAATGGGGATGTTAATTAACCACTTGTTATTGCATCTGGTTGTTTGATAAGTTATAGTTTCAGAGGATTTCATCTTTTTATGCTAGCTCTGCTAAAAATGACGCTTTCCATAAACTCAACCTATCATCAGGTGTTACATGCATAAAAGAGGATATCTGCATCAACTACACTTTAATTGTGTGAAGGAAGTGATTGTTTTCAACACTATTTTCGATGACTGTTGGTTCAGACACATGTCAGAATCTTAACTAGCACTCCACGTGTGACACGTTGGATATATCTCATCTATCATGGCAACAGCTAGACGTTCGAGTCAAGCTCCTGACACTTCTCAATCCGTGTCCCAGTCCCCCACCAGCACGGACCGTAAACTTCTTGATAAAGTTCTCAGGAGACTGGACAAACTGCATAAACTGAGCACCAACCCCAGGTTGGGTCTTAAAAACAGCCCGCCGTACCTTCCCGAACTAGTGTCGGAGACCGCCATCCACCTGACAGAAGTATGGGCTCCCTACAGGGGCTCCATGATGGCCGTGCCACGAGGGGACGAGGGTGATTATCTGAGGATCCATATTCGACACTTGCTGGACAAGGCAGATAGAGCTGTGCTGCTGTTCAAGGATGGCAAGGAGAAGATGTTTGAAGAGACATCAAGCTACAGGTAAGACAAAGCCAAGAAGCACAGAGGTCAGTTTTAGTCATCGCACTGGACTCGGTATGTGTGTTCTTCAGGTGGCCACGTTCAAACATCTCAGAGATGATCATAATTGAGTGGACTGAATGATATTAAAAGTTCAAAAAACAGACACAAGGTATATAGATAATAAAGCAGATTAATCCTGTTTGTTTTAGGTAGTTCCATCAAGAGTGTGAATAATTTTTGCTGGTGATATATTTTATATACTTTGCAATAATAATTTAATTAAAAAACACATAAATGCTCAAAAACACTCTCAAAATTTCAAAATTTGTAAGATTAGGTATATATATATATATATATATATATATATATATA